CACGTAACAACAACAAGAGCAACATCCCAGAAACAAGAAGTGTGAGAGATCTGGAATAGGATTCCAAGTGACAGTGGATAGAGTCAAATTACAATAAGCTTTTCATGAAAATTCCATGGATACAGATGTATCACTCTCAATCTTTAGGGCACTACAATCTGGAAGAGCCCAGTGCAGCAGTGTTTTATCATTTCTATGACAACGATACCTCAGAGGCATCTTGCATTCACTGTGAATTCAGATGACACTCTCAAGGTGTGGAACTGTCAAGATAAGGATGCTCTGGCTGCTATTACCATGTCTGAGGACGTTCTTTCCATGGAAGCCTTTCTCACAAAAGATGGTCCGTTCCTGGTGGTAAGTGAATCTCTCCATCTTGAGGGGATCTACAAAACAAAATACCTGCTTCCTTCACAAAGAATGCCAGTTATCGTTATGCATCACAATCTGTCTCTTCAAATGTTTATCTTCCACATACTCTGAGGGTCACGCACAAAGCTTTGATGAAAGTTGGCCAGGTTAGCCTCTGTTCTATTTTATTTTACCCATCTCAAGTACACTTAAGAAGTTCCTGCAAAAAATACACTCTCATTTATCTTACATCTGTGTTCTTTCTTTCAGTTGTGCATTCTTTTGCAGATTGTGAACTTCAACAGTGGCACTGGAGGGAGAGATGTAGGTTTGGGGAGACAGTGAAAAAGAAGAGGGTGTCAATATTTTAAGTAATTCCTATCCTTCAGAAGAGTTATGTGGGGCTTAGAAAACCTTATGGGATCAACATGACTTTGTGAGTCAGGCTGCTTGGAGGTTAAGATCTCGGTTATGAGCTTAGAGAAATAATGAGTCACATTGCAGCTAAATAGTTCAGCTTCTTGTACACGTTGGAATTTCATGGCTTTTCCCATTGACATGATTATGATGCTTTGGTTTCAGGTGGGTGATTTTGCTGGTGACATTTACACATTTACAGTGCCTGATTTAAGGAGTATTTCTAGGGTTCATGCATTTCAAAATGAAGTTGAGCATCTATTCTGCTCTCCTGACAAGAAATTTATCATTGCATCGCAACAGAGAGACGGTAACTTTCCGAAGGTAGGTGACGTGCTTTATGCTTAAGCTTGGAGTGTGGGGTGCCAAGCATCAGAATGTTCATGTTAGGAAGTGTGGGAGGAAGGGAAAGGCTTGGTAAGGGCCAGAAGTAATACTCCCTCTTCTCAGGCCATGCCACAAAAATACTGCCCAAGAAACGTGGGGGTTTTTTTTGTTTCATTTTTTAAATAAAATATACAGATGCAAAATAAACATTGACTAATCAAAATTATTAACTTGAGGGGAAGGTATATTAAGAACTCTGAATCTTTAATAATTTTGTTCACTTTTGAAAACTTAATTTTATTTTTCTTCATCTTGACTACAAAGATTACAGAGAATTAGAAGTGAATGTATATGCATTTGTCTCTGAGTGTCAGAGAAAACCTTTGAGCAGGCCATATTTACCCTGGCCTATGCCATACCTGTGCTTGTCTTGACTGCTGACAATGAGCTTCTAATCCTCACTTGTCACCTTCTCATTATCAAACATTTTGCATTTTTACAATTGTAAGCAAAATGTCTCAAAGTTTGTGCATTACATTAGGGTATACAGGTGGTAGTAAAAAAAATACTGAGGTGTGAGTGGAGGGTAACACTGACTGTGATGGTTGGAGTATATGTCAACTCCACTGGGCCATGATTCTCAGTGGCTTGGAACTTATGGAATGATGTAATCTAGTAGATAAATAATAATAAAAGAAATTTAAGACAACATTAATCTTTCACATAACCACCTTGGTTTTGGAACCTCACCATGTCAATAATGGAGACATATGGAGACATACTCAACCCTTCTTGAGACATGCAATTATTTGGCCAAGATGGAGATTTTTTTTAATTGGTTTGCTTACTAAGTTCATATACATTCTGGCGAGCTCTGGTGGCCTAGTGGCAAGAAGCAGCGCTTCAGTCCCAGAGGTGTGTGGTTCATATCCACCAGATGCTCTGCTGGAGAAGGAAAAACAATGTCCTTCTATACCAGTCAGACCTGATTTGATGGTACTCACACACAAAAATAATAAAATAAACAAAGTTCATATTCATTGTGTTTCATGCTATTCTTCATTCACATTGTGTTTCATACAATCATTATGTTTTATGAAATTAATCACCATTGGACCTAGCCCATCATTACCCTCTCGTTTTGCCCAGATTCTTCCCATTTTCTCTATCCCCACCCCCAAACTGTGTTTCTCTTCTGTCTGTCATCAGACCTCACCACCTTGAGTTACAATGGAAATTTTTAAGGATGATTTCCTAGGGTCTCTGGTGGCCTAATGGTAAGAAATGGGACTGCAATCCAGAACTCCACCAGCCCCTCTGTGAGAGAAGGATGAACAATCTCCACCTGCGTGTTTAACTGCCTTTGAAAATCTACTGGAGGGTCAGCTATGGTTCAATTCAGACATGCAGGCAAACAACAATTTCTGTAGCAAGATGTTACAACTTCTACCTTCACCTAATTGTGCCATTATGTCTCCTTAGGTATTTTTCACCGAGCATTTACTGAAACCATCCAAAGAAGATAAATTCTCATCCTTCTCTCTCCCTATTGAATGCTCCTGGACAGCCTGCTGGGCTTTAAGAAAACCAAACAGGATAATAACAATAAACAAAGGAGGCTTTACAGAAAAGGGAAGATGTATCACTTTCGACTTTACAACTAATTGTATTGAAGGCCAAAATATAGTGCATGGTAGTGTATGCCACTTTAGAAACCCGTTTCTCTTTATTCATGTACTCATGTATGCACATGTATTCATGGTGGTGGTGTTGTGTACCATTGAGTCAGAACCAACCCATAGTTGACCTTTCAGCAAGTTTTCAGAAGCAGTTTAATTGCACAGGAGGAGACTGCCCATCTTTCTCCTGTGGAGCAGCGGGTAGATTTCAACCATATGCCTTCAGGATTGCGGCACAATTTCTTACCACTAGGCCACCAGAGCTCCCTATTTCTGGTGAAATAGAAATCTATGTAAATAGGTGAATCTATGAAAGAGGCAGAGTATTGCTTTAGCAGGGGTTAATCCATGCTTGTTGAACTCTAATGTCCATTTTTTTTTTCTGACCCATCTACTACATCCCACCTTCTTGGATGTATTTATTCCCATCATGATTTAGGCTTGAATTCCAATGGACCCTCTTCTTCCAGACCTCCTTCAAGACCCCAGCGATTGTTGTCTGTGTCCTCTCCTCTCCCGACTCTCTTCTGTTCTTTGTCGTAACACCCTGATTGTGACCTGGTTCATGTATTTTTCAGATACCTGGCTTACTTTTCATTTCCCTCACTGAACTGAAGTTCCATGCAAGTAGAGACTTGATTTTTGCATTTAGTCCTGCCTAAATAAACTAAAATCTGACTGCAAATACATAAAATGTGTGTTTTAATGTATTTTTTTTTCCTTGAAAAAGCACAGGAGATTGCAAGATTCCAGTTACCAGATCATATTAGAACTCCGAAATATGTTGGATCCAATGATGGAAACACGATAATCTTTGAGAGTAATAGACACCTATTCCTCTACACTGTTGATGGCAGCATGATTCATCATTTTGAAGACCATGGGGCTAGCATCTGCCACTTATGGGTGGTACATATGATACTTTCCCCCCTCTTGCTTATTGCTCTGAGTTTGTCTTATTAGCCATTTACTCCTGAATGTCCTTTTCAGGGTCCTGTCCATGTCGTCACCACAGCCACTGATAATTCTGTGAGTGTGTACACGTGGGAGAAGGATGGGCGCTTTCCGTACCTCACACAGTGCTGTCATTTACCGTACATGGAAAGTGACTGGACACCGAGCTGGTAAGGCCTGCTAACATATATGACTAAACTGTTTTTAGGAATTGCTTCCTCCTGGAGACTATCCACAGCCATTTTAATAAAGAACATTTTTTTTTGGTCAAAATGGTTGTTGATTAGACTCTTGCATATAGTTCATGGAAGGCTTATATATTCAATATGGTTTTTTCACTTGGAAAGTCCTTCCTTTACTGTGTGCACTAGTTATTTGGGTTGCTTTTTAAAAAAAAATTATTCATTTCAATGAAAATTTACAGAGACTTTGGATTTCCATTCATTCATTGTTGCACATTTCTCCCCTCCCAAGACTCCTCCCCAGTACACTACCCTCTTGGAAAAGTAAAAGAAAAATTCTTTCATTGTTTTAAAATCCCTCCCCCAAGGTCCACTCCACTATGCAGCCTTTGCTCTGGACTCCTGTCATGACAAAAAATACCTATCACATATCCTTTTTAAACAGTTTTCTCCCTCATCTGTTTCAATGCAGTATACATTATTCAACCCATCTTTCTCAGTCTCCCCCCAACCCTTATGTCAGTAATATTTTACAACAGTGGCACAGTGCAATATTTGTCCTTTTGTGACTGAAATATTTCACTCAGCATAATGTCCTCCAGGGTCACCCATTTTGAATAATATTGCATGAGTTCCTTGTTTTTCAATGCAGTGTAGTATTCCATTGTGTGAATATACCACAGCTTCTCTATCCATTCATTTGTTGATGGGCACCTGGGTTGTTTCCAATTCTTTGCTGTTTTGATGTGAACAAAGCCACGATAAACATGGGTGTGCATTCTTGGGTTGCTTTTAATGAACTGCCATTTTTCTCATTTTTCTGCTGGATTGCGTGCTTATATCACAACTGATCTTGTGATTTTATATCATGGATAGAGAATTTGATACTTTAAAAATATTTCCTGATGCTTGCTTCTTAGCCTTGTTCTTGTTATGTGGCTTAGCCTTAGAGAGCTTTTTTTGGCATTACCTAATAAAACAACATGTATGTATCCTTTCAGTTACACATAATATAAAAAAATTTTCCCTGAATGATGTTCATGGTAGTTTTGCTATTTGCCAAACCCTGAAATGATTTAATTGTCCAAATAAAAGAATTTATTGGGATTATTATAGTACATCCACACAATAAAGTATTTCTCATATATTGCTAACTAAAAATAATTGTAGGAATGTGTAAACTCAGATAAATTCTTTCTACTGCTTTTAGGGAAAATGATAGAGTCGTGATGCATATCTTTGTTAATTTTAAGCCATGCAGTGTTCCCTTGCTTCCTTGATAAAGCAACTCTTGATCTAGGTTTAGGCTTCATAAGAGCATAATTAAGTACTCTGGGATTCTCATTCTTCTGAAGGTTAACCATTGATTTATGTATAAAAAAGGATTTCTTATACAGCTCTAATTGGGTATGATTGGGTAAATATTAATTATAATTATAGCCTCTTACTCAGTTTATCTGCTCATGTTTATGTGATACTTTTTTTGTGGTTTATACTTGTTTTTGCCTTGAACGATTTCAGTGAATGTATTTCTCAATTCTAAATTTTCCATTTGGTTCTTTTTTACATATTGTTTTGTTGAGATTTTATTTTATTTTTTTTTACATTGTTTTCCAGAGGGTTTGTAATTCCTCACTGGAATTTTTTTTTATAGATGTTGCAGAATTCTTACCAAATATTCTTAACATATGTGTCATTTTGATATTGCTATCTGATTCCCTTTTGTTTTAAGGCAATTGTTTTTTTTTTCAAAGACAGTTCTTACTTTTGAGACGGTAGTTTTGGATAGAACCATATATACTTACTTCATTCATACTAACTCGGCTTCAGTCTAAAGCTTCAATCTGAGCAAATGTTTGGTATACTTATGTTTGGAATACACATCTTGATTCATTTCTGTGGAATGTTATTGAAATGTCTACCTTGTTTTTAAAATGTTTGTGGTGGTGTTCTTGTCTGCTACCCAGAGGTCAACTTGAAACCTGTAAGATCTGAAATTTTTTGCTATGTTAATACTGGTCTGGTTCACCCATCAGCCTCATAAGGTTATGCTTAGAATTTTATACATGGATTTAAAAAACTCCTTTCTAAATTTCCTTTCTTTCCATAATCTTTTCCTGGTTTCTTTATAGGAAGCAATGGAATACTACATCTTTTCTGTTTCCTTGGTAGTGGTAGGGGTGTTATGTATGATCGAGTCAGAATGACTCATGGTTGACCATCCAGTGGGTTTTCAGAAAAGGACTTAATTGCACAGGAGGAGATTGCCTATCTTTCTCTTGTGGGAGCAACCTGTGGATTTGAACCTCATGCCTTTGGGTTGCAAGTGCAACTCCTTACCACTAAGCCACCAGAGCTCCATTGTTTACTTAGTGCAAGGAAGAAACCTTGTCCATTAGAGAAGAGTATCAGTAAGACTCTACTCAACAGTATCTATGGCATCATGAGGTATAGAAAGAAGTACCAACTGTTTTCTGAGAATCTATTTGGGCAGAGCAGGAATAATTAAAAATACTAACCCCAAATCTCTGAGTAGTCACTGAGGAAGGTGAAGAATGCAGGGTGAAACAGTAGATAGAACTCTACACTCCCTCTGGGAAAGCTGTGGAGTGCCATCTCTACTCCTATTAATTCAGTGAGTGGATGGTGGCCTGGGTTATGGCCTGCAGCACTGGCTCAAGAAAGATTAGGGCACAGTCTTTAAATGAGTACAGAGCATGCAGTCTCAGAAGGGATCCACCGGCACATTTTCCTAGCACCTAGTATGGGTACAGGGACATTTTGCAGACTGAGCGTGGTTGGTAAGGGTATGACCTTCCTTGATCTCAATGGTTCCCAGTTTGTGGAGAAGTTGACATTTATGATATTCTACCGGAGGACAGTATCTGTAGTCCAAAGAGTATATAAATTAAGATATAAATTCTCTCATTAATGAAACAGAAATTGTAAAATCTGACAGTGATACCTCAAATTAGGTTGAGGTTTGTACTTTGTAGAATAACAGTGTAATCTGACTGAAAACTGTTTTTTCAAAATCAACTTCAGAACAACTTCTATGACTTAAAGGTCAAAAGGACCTAAAGGATAAAATACTAATGAGTAAAAAAAAAAAATAAATACAAAACAAACCAACCAAAAAACAACAACAACAAAATTACTAATGAGTCATGTTCTCTTTGAAATCACCAGCAATAGAAATTCCTGCTCATTTTTCTTTTCTTGACAGGCACAACTCAAAGACAATATGTGATAATCGGAGCCTAACATGTTTGGGAACAAGCAGCTGTTTTTCCAGCACTCTGGTGTTTTACTCTTTGAAGGAGCAACATGAAAACTAACAGAATGAACCTTGCACTATCTTTCTCAATATAGTAAAGAAAATTCTATTTGCAAGTACAAAATAATTATTTTGTGTTCTTAAAAAGTAGTGTTTCAAGCATGGACAGTGAATAAGATGTTACAGATCAAGCTTTATATGGATATGGGGAATGGGGCACAATATATATTATGTCCCTACCATCAGAAAGAGTGTAAGATACTAAAAAAAGTACACTACAAATGGTTACACAAAAATACAATTCCAAACAGCAATGACAGTATATTATGGGGAAAGTATGAATTTAGATAAAAGCTGATTGAAACGTGAAGTCATCTGTATCAGTCAGTATTCTTCCTTATAAGCAACCAAAAGTAAATTCTAAAAAAAAAAGTAAATTCTATAGAATTAAGAAAAATGGCAAAAAGAGGGGCTCAAATATTTAGAGAACTAGAAGACATTACTCAGAGGATGGCAATTAAAAATATTTATGAGGATGTGTTTGATGTGCTTTTGAGTTAGAACTGACTCCTTATTGACCCTCCAGTGGGCTTTCTGGAAGCTGTAAATCCCATGGGAAGAGTTTGTCCATCCTTCTTCCACAGCCACTAGTAGATGTGAACCATATACCTTTGGGTTGACGGTGCAACTCCTTACTGCTAGGCTGCCAAAGGCCTAGGAAATAGAAAATATATCAATGACTAAACCAAATAAACATTTCCATTTGCATATCACCATATAATGATATAGGAGAAAACTGGCTTTCTTCCTATGTCATGATTTCAGGACTCAAAATTCTTGGAGGGACTATAGATCAATTCCAAATATCCATCTACTCCTTTAACTCTGGGAGCTTGAAGGAAAGTTGACCTGAAGAAGGGCAGTTTGCACACTTTAGAGAAACTCATGGCAATGGGAGCTTTATCTAAAAGCAGGTCAAGTGTCCAAGATGGTTAAGTGACCACCATGTTTTTCCTGCGGAGATAAATTTGAAGCTATGCTCATAAGAAAGACTGGTAAAAGGTCTATGGTCTATGGGTAGAGAAGACACCATGCCAGGCATTATAAATGGTGCACAGGCAAAGTCTGAGACACCTAAATGTTTTTTATTTCAGAAACGGGGTTGACTGGCTGAAGTCAATGATAAAGAGTGTAAGATGAGGGAGAAAAGTCAGTAAGAACTCACGTGGGCATTTGTACGTTACGTCCTGTAAATGCATACTAGTTGCAATGGTAAGGTTTAGAATGATTTGGTTGTTTTTGTTTTATGAACTTACTACACTCCTTATTTTCCTCCAAAAAAGCCTTCCCCCCTCCTTCTTTAGAAAATATTATTTCCATTGCCACTGGAAATGGATTTAAAATGGCTCTGCAGCTGAGGACAAAAGGTTAAGTCATTTTCTTGATTATCTATACAGATAATAGAGGCTAAAGGTAAAATGTGACAGTAATATGGATGGATGTTGCTGATGAGATAGAAGACTTGTGTGAGACTATGCACACAAGAAACAACTCATCAAAAGAAACAATCCATGCAACTGATTTCCCAATAACTTGGATATAACATTGAATTGCTTTTAGATTTCTTTTTCCATATACATTGTTGTTGTATATTGTTGAGCTAAAAACCCTTCAGTGTGTTTTCAGAGGCAGTAAATCACACAGGAGTAGA